TGTTTCTTGATTCTATTTGGTAAAATTTCTTTTGTAACACTTCTATACTATCAAAATTTGGGAAATAATCCTTGCTTTTGTTTTGAGGGTTAGTAAGTAAAACAACAATAAAACAATGAATTCCTTGAAAAGACAGTTGGGAATTTACTCTGCTCTAGGATCTGTACTTGGCTCTGAGAATAAAGGATGGTTAAGTTCTTGTTCCCTGCACTTGTATCTGTGCTGGTAGCCTAGTAGAAGATATAGGTAAGGAAGAAATAAGGTGTTATCAGAGTTCTAGGTGCACAGTACACCATGATAACACACCCCTGCTTGGGGGACTTCCTGGAGGAGAGGAGATGGCCTGACCTCCTGAATTCTGGAAAAGGAAAGTGTTAGCAAAATGAGAGTGGAAGTAGGTAGATGCCAGACTAAGTGCATTGTGGAGGGCGTCTGGAGACAAGAGGGAGTCACTCTTGTGGGTACTCTTGGAGGACCTGTGCCCGAAGAAGTGGCCATTTGGTGAGGAGAATGAAGTTGGATGCCCTGTGAGCCATGCCAAGGGATTTCTGCTTTATTCTGTTGCTATGAGCAGGAGTGATTAGAAGATTTTAAATAGGAATGAGACATTACCGTGTTTTAATTTGAGCTTGATTAAAATGTTTTTAAAACTGCAAGCACTGGGACCAGCAGATGGTGTAATGGTTACATCACTAGACTCCCACATTGTTGACCGTGGTTTGAGTCCCAGACCTCAGCAACTTAAAGCTCATGCCAGGCGCATATGCATGCCTGCCCATAATCCCAAGAGGAGAGTGGAGAAGGGATTGTGGTGTGGTTACCCCCAGCCAGGGAGGGGTGATTTCTCTCTTTCTGTCTCTCTGTCTCTGTGTCTCCGGTGAGTGCACAGGCCCTATAGCAAAAACCAAACAAAAAACAGTGAGCACTTAAGTACAGGTGTTTTTTGATATGATGAAAGACTAGGTGAAATCTGAAGGAAAACCAAAACTACACCGTACCATCTCAGTCTGTTTTATATCTAGGCCTTTAATCTAGGATTGTCAAGTTATAGTCTCAAGACCACTACATACTCTTAAATATTGAGTGACACCCTGCGGGGGGCACATGGCCTTGGTGTAGTCCCTTCTCTATTTTCCTCTAGGATCCTGGGTGTGCACGCACATGAACCCAGTGCCTCCCTCGATCTGCTGGACCTGGGCTTGGAACTACACAGTCGGGCATGTGAGTGAACTCCAGCCACCCTAACTATATCACCAGCTGGCCCCCAATTTTAAATTTAAATTTTTTACTTTTTAAGTGTTTTTGTTAAAGACTTTACAAACACACACATCGGCTAGCTCTACACAGCGTTTGGATTTTCATTGTTGTTCATCACTGGAAGGGCTATAGATGAATAAAACAACACAAGATTAAATCAAGAACACTGCAATAAATGTGGGATGCGTGAGGCTGCTGCCAGTGTAACACAGCATACATACTGTTTTACAGCAAACTTCAAAGTAGAAGGGGTACACTCCAAACCAATGATAAAGTTTAATAAAGGAAATATATTGGACTGCCAGGAGAGTCACGGCACATTTTTGCATAGAAAACTGTCATGACTTTTCTGACAACCTAATGTAGACCAGGAATAGTCATTTATTGTCAAATATTATGTACTGGACAGAGTTGTATGTACTGTAATACATTTTTTTAATTGAAAAATTTTTAGGTTTTTTGCTTATAGGGTGCCTGTGCTTGCTGGAGAGAGACAGAAACGAAGGAAAGTGAGAAATCAGTCCCCTCAGGGGGAATGGCCTTCTCCATTCTCCTCCTGGGATTTTGAACATGCACACCCTTGTGCCTGCCAGGTTTACCAAGCCACCAGGTCTGGAACTCGAACTGTGGGAGTCCAGTGTCTTAACCAGCACACCACCTGCTGGCCCCTGTATATACTTTATGTGACTGGTAGCCACATTGGGTTTGTTTATACCAGCATCAATCACCACAAACACATTGAATAGGGGAAATACAAACTCAATTTCTACAACAATACTCTGACAACACAGATCACTTCTGTGGTCCCCAATGTGTGGGTCTTTCTGCACACCAGCAGGCAAGCAGTCAGTTCTGCGGGACCCCAGCCTGGAGTACTCTAACTCTGTTTGGATGCTGTCTATCTAGAGATGGCGTCAGATCCCATAGGTTTGAGGCTTAGTCCTACAAGGCTGACCCCACTCTAGACACTACAACTTCCTCTTTGTGTTTAATTTGCACTTCCCTGGCTAATGATGTGGAACGTCCTTTTGTAGTGGAATGGCTTCTGCGATGATATCCAGGTTCTTGGTGTTTTGGATGAAATATGCAAATACCATAAGGAAAAGGTCGTTTATTAAGTAAAAGAGAAAGTACACTCCTGAGAGGTAGGAGTGGGCCTGAACAGACAGAGAGAGTGTGTCTCAAAAGGCCTTGGGAGTTGCATTCTGTGAGGTTTATACTTGTTGATCTAGGTCATGTTGGTTGAGCATTAGCTGGGCCACTGATTGTTTTCCCCTTACTGACTCTGTCAAATGCGGCTGGGCCCACTGCTTTCTCATTGGCTATATTACATGTGGCTTAATCAGCTAGACACACTCTAGACACTCTCCATTAACCTCTTGCCTGCATTACCTTGGATGGGGAGTTTTCTGCCCTGATTGGGTTTTTCTATCTAGCCACATGGGCAGATACTCCAGCCCCTTTACCCACTTCCATTTGCTAGCTTTTTTCTGCCTCACTTTCATGTGATTATTTGCCGTCAGTATATTCTCCTTAGTAATGTATTTGTTCATGTCATTTTCCATTTTCTAATTGGAGTGTTAGTTTTTGTACTGTTCAGTTTTTTTAAAAGACGTGTTTTATTTAACTATTTTTTTTTTTTTGAGAGGTTTTTGCTATAGGGCATGTGCGCTCGCCAGAAAGACAGAGAGACAGACAGACAAAAAGTGAGAAATCACCCCCCAGGAGGGATGGCCATGCCACAATCCCTTCTCCTCCATTCTCCTCTTGGGATCTTGGGCACACACGCACACGTGCCTGGCATGAGTTTAAGCCACTGGGTCCGGGACTCGAACCGCGGTCGACTACATAGGAGTCCAGCGACATAGCCATTACACTAACTGCTTGCCCCTTTGTTTTTAATTTGACCACAGGGACAGAGTAAGAGAGTGAGAGAGTGAGTGAGTGAGTGAGTGAGTGAGAGAGAGAGAGAGGGTTGTAAAGTGAGAAAGCAAGCTGCTCGTCTGGGACTTGAACCGTGGTTGGCCATGTGGGTATCCAGCACCCTTAATCACCACACCACCTGCTGGCCCCTGTACTGTTCGATTTTGAGGGTTCTTTACATATTTTAGAAGGCTGTGTTGGAAATTTGATGTGCAGGTATTTTCTCCCAGTCTGTAACTCCTCTTTTCAGCGAATCTTTTTCTTTTAATGTGTGTGCTTGCTGGAGAGAGAGAGAGAAAGAATCTGAATGTGAGAAAGCATTCCCCAGGGAGGCTAGCCACATTGCAGTCCTTCCTCTTCCACTCAGGATTTGGGACATGCATGCATATGCGCCAGGTGTGTTTCTCAAGCTGCTAGATCTGGGACTGGAGTCAGACACCTGGCTATGTGGGTTCTAATTGCCTTAACCCCCACGTGGCCCTACTTTTTCAGTGTCGTAAGAGGGTTTTTCACAAAAAAGCTAATTCGGATGAAATCCAGTTTATCCGTTCTTGTTACAGATCATGCTTTTGATGTCAAATAATTGCAGAACTTGCTTATCTCTAACTCCTGAAGATTTCTGCTTGTTTATAGTAAAAGTTGTATAGTTTTGTGTTTTACATTCAAGCCTATGATCCGTTTTGAATTTGTATGAGGTGTGAGGTTGCAGTTGGTTTTTTTTTTTTTTTTGCCTATGGATGTTCAGTTAGTCCAGCACCAGTTTTGAAAAGGTTTGCATGTCAGATAGCTTTTGCCTGTTTATTAAGGAATGGGCATATTTGTGTGGATCATTTCTGGTTTCTCAGTTCTGTCCCAGCTGTCTGTGTGTACGTTTCTTTGCCAGTACCACACTCTGTTTTTACCGCAGCCTTCATATGGTAGACCTTCATCAGGTGAAGGGATTCTTTACCCTGTTCTCCACACCGTTGAAGATTGTTTTAGCTATTTAGAATCTGTGTTGTCCATATACATTTTAGAATGATTATATCTACAAAATTCTTGGTGGGATCTTGATAGGAATTAAAAGAACCTATAGGTCAGTTTGAGAGAAAATTGACATCTTCACTGTATTGAGTTTTTTTGTTTTGTTTTGTTTTTTAAGAGAGAGAGATTTTTGCTATAGGGCATGTGAGTTTACCAGAGAGACAGAGAGATAGAAAGTGAGAAGTCACCCCCAGGGAGGATGGCCATGCTGCAATCCCTTTTCTTTCACTCTCCTCTTGGGATCTTTTGGGCACGCATGCACATGCACTCAGTATGAGTTTTAAGCCACTGGGTCTGGAACTTGAGCCACAGTTGGGAGTCTATCAGTGTAACTGCTACACTGTAGTATATGAAGCTATTACAGTCTTTCTGTAAATAAATATGTTTTTAATAGAAAAAGTAGCAATATATGATAAAAAAAAAAAAGAAAGGTGTAGAGAGAACAAAGTAAAAAGTGTTTTCCCCATTCCAGACCCTAGGATCTTTCATATGTACTTCTGTATCAAGAACAAGTGGTTTGAATTGTTCCCAGTAATTCTGTGTATAATTGTATATTTTTGTAACATATACATGGAAGTATGTATGTTGTCTTATATCTTGCCTTTTTAAATTTAAAAATAGATTTTTAGCAGTTTTTCCTATCTGCAAATATAGTTTTTTATATATTATTCTTTTATTGTTTGCAATGATTGCTGAATATTGTTTTTCGAATGTGTAATATAATTGATGTTTTCTCTGAGCATTCACTTAATTGTGTTTATTTAAAATACATTTATACAAAATTTTTCTCTCCTTAGAGAACTCACTACCTTGGAAGTCCATTCTCCCAAGAAAGAAGGGACAGAAAGATCTCTTTGTAAGAAAGGCTTGGGTATCCCATGAACGAGCCAGCAGAAAACCGATTGGGGTGCAGCAGGACTCCAGAGCCAGACATAAGGCTCAGAAAAGGACACCAACTTGATGGTACAAAAAGAGATGATAATGGCAACCACCAAGGACATTTGGAGCCCATCTTAGAGGCATCTGTTCTTTCTTCCCATCATGAAAAAGTAAGTTGAAGGCGGAAGGGTGGTAAATGAAGCACACAGTTTATGGGGATATGGCAGAAGAGCAGATTTTGAAAATATATGGAGTTATTGCTGGTAAGAGGAAGGGATGTTGAGAAGAAACCTTAACAGATCTGTATTTATCAGGATAACTTACTTATTTTTAAATTTGCCAGGGGTGTCTGTGCTTGCCAGAGAGAAGAGGCAGGGGGGGAATGTAACCGCCAGTGGGGCATGGTCATGCTGCGGTCCCTTCCCTGTTTCTCCACACTGTTGGGATTCTAGATGCACATGCTTGTGCCTGGTGTATTTTTCAAGCTACTGGAGCCGAGATTTAAACTGGGTGGTTGGCAATGTGGAATCTGGCTCCCTTAACCACTAGGCTATGGGATGGCCTGAGTGTCTTATTCTTAAATTAGCTCAAGTATTATTTAGTTTTATAGTTATGCCTTTTTTGCTGACACTTAAAATCATAATTATGGGACCAGCAGTTAGTGTAACGACTGTGTCGCTGAACTTCCATGTAGCCAACCATGGTTCGAGTCCCAGACCCGGTGGCTTAAACTCACACTGGGTGCATGTGCATGTGTGCCCAAGATCCCAGGAGGAGAAGGGATTGCAGTGTGGCCATCCCCCCTGGGGTGCGATTTATTGCTTTCTATGTCTCTGTCTGTCTCTGTCTTTCTGGTGAGCACATGTGCCCTATAGCAAAAACCTCTCCAAAAAAGAAAATCATACTTAATTAGCTTTATCATGTTTAAGGGAGAAGAAATCGATTTTTGTAGTTACTATATAGCTTTTCTTGTTGGATCATGCTTTAATTATGATGTTACCAGTGATATTTTGAGAGGAATTCTAATTGCATTCTGGAATTGCTTGTATAGAAATTGTCCCCATACTTTGGGGGTCAGGAGAAATCTGAGAGCAGAAGGCAGTTTAATCTTTCCTTTCACTTCGTAAAGAAAAGAGCAGCCTTCAGTTACTCAGGTAACTTTACCTGGAAAGAAGGCATAAATATTGATATTTGTGGGCAGTGTCAGAAAATCATTGCTATAGACATTTTGTTAATGTACTTAGTAACCTTCACAGTGTGTAGCATGCATTCAAGGTGTGGTACTACCATGGTTTTCAAACCAAGTCTTGTCCACTAGCAGGTTGTGAAGTTAGTTGTAGTATTTTAAAACATTAAAAAAAATTGAACAGCAAAATAAAATAAGAATACTGTGCTGCCCATATGTAGTAAGTGATATACATTTCAACTTATTTGTTGAACTTTGAAAGTTTCATATATCTATGTGTAAATGTATAAATATGAATACTATATGAAGTACATTTCTTCCTGTGGGTTGTAGTCCAAAACATATTGAAAGTCTGTACAGAACAGCAGTTTTACCATCCTAAGAGAGAAGCTAGTTGTGTGAATAACAGTGTTGCTGGATTGAACTTCCAGATGGTTGTCTTTTCCTTTCAGGCCTTGTATAAGAATTTTAGCAAAGTGTCTTAGTAACATTGAATATCACATTATGTTGTACACATTTGTTAATAGTTTCACTAGTTTTTTTTTTTTTTTTTTTTTTTTTTAATATGTATTAAATTGCCCATATTTCTTTTTTGAGATTTTTGGTATAGGGAGTGTGCACTCACCGGAGAGAGACAGAAAGCAAAAAGTCACCCCCCGGGGACATGACCATGTTGCAGTCCCTTCTCCTACATTCTCCTTTCAGGATTTTAGGCACACACACACACACATGTGCCTAGTGTGAATTTTAAGTTGCTGAGTCCAGGACTTGAAATGCGGTTGACTACGTGAGAGTCCAGTGACAACCATTACGCCATCTGCTGGTTTCAAATTGCCCCCCCAACTCTTTTTTTCTTTTTTTTTTTTTTGAGAGAGAGGGGTTTTTTTTTTTTTTTTTTTGGAGAAAAGGGGTTTTTTTTTTTTTTTTTTTGGAGAAAAGGGGTTTTTTTTTTTTTTTTTTTGGTATAGGGCATGTCTGCTCACCAGAGAGACAGAGAGTGAGAAATCACTTCCTAGAGTGACGCCTATGCTGCAATTCTCTCTCTATTCTCCTCTTGGGATTTTGGGCATGCATGCACACGTGCCCAGTGTGAGTTTTAAACTACTGGTTTGGGGACTCAGAGTGTGGTCCATTCTGTGGGAATCCAGCCACGTAACCATTAACGCCATCTGCTGGTCTCGCTCATATTTCTTATTTTGCTGTGATACACCATCCTGTAGGCTCTTCCTCTTAGCTATATGCATTCTTGTATCCATTATAAATGTTCTCAAACTCCCACCTGACATCCCTCAAGCCTCTCCTGGTATCTACCATTACCATAGCTGTTAGAAGCTTTCAAATTTTTCATTTTCTTTCATAGAGTACAGACATTCAATATATATTAAGTGAGACAAACAGTATTTATTTTTCATAGTCTGGTTTATTTTCACTTATCGTTATATTTTCTGGTTCATGCACTTTGTATAAAATGGTAGGACTTTGTTCTTTATGACTGACTTGTGGAGAGCAGCCAGTCTGAAAACATGTGATTAAAACATGTGACCTGTACTCTAACAGGGCTATTGAGAAGCATCTACATATGAAAGCAGTATCTGCCTATTGTCAGTGGTTGTCTTCCTGTTGTTGATACTCAAACGGAAGTCACAAGCATTTATCAGATTGTCCCCCAAAAGGATCTGAGAAATTATATGGCCAGTTATTTTCACATCTTCAGTAAACTTACATCCAAAACCAACTGGCTTTGCATTCCGATTTCTCTTCCCTTGTTCTCTTTGCATTCCACTTCCTTCTTCCCCATTCCTTTTACATCCCATTTTCCCCTTCCCCCATTGTCTGCTCTTTAAAAGAATAAACCTGAGGCTGGTTCTGGTTGCAACTTCTCCATCAGAGAAGCTGTGCCCACCCAGTCCTCTCTTTTCTATACTTGTGTGTCTTTGTGTGTTTGTCATTGCGTCTATTTCTAATCCACAGCCTTCCCCACATCCCGAGCTGGTCTCGGCACTGACTGGTGTTTAGTTATATATATATGCCATATTTTCCCAGTCTGTTCATCAGTTGTTGGGCACTTAGGTTGATTCTGTGGCTTAGCTATTGTGAATAATACTGCAGTAAGCATGGATGTGCAGATGTCTCTGTGACTGAAAGATTGCCTCTCCTTTTAGTGTGTACCCAGTAGTTGGATTGATGGGTCATATGGTAATTCCACTTTTATATTTTTGAGGAAACTCCATACTGTTTTCAATAGTAGAAATTCAGTTTTCTTAGTACCATTTGTTGCAAGGCCGTCTCTTCTCCATTAGATTTTTTTGTGCCTTTTGTCAGAAGTCAGTTGGCTCTATATTGTAGAGTTTATTTCATGGCCTACATGCCTGTTTTTGTATAGTACTAAGCTGTTTGGTTATTATGACTTTGTAATATATTTTAAAGGCAGGTAGTAGGATGCCTACAACTTTTTTTTTGGGGGGGGGTATAATATTACTTCCAGGATATAGAATCTTTTTTAGTATCTCTGAGGAATGTTGGTGGATTTTTTTTTTTTTTTTTTTAGAGGTTTTTGGTTTTTGCCATAGGGCACGTGCACTTGCCAGAAAGAGAGAGACGGAGGGACAGAAAGCGAGGAATCACCCCCCAGGGAGGATGGTCACACTGCAATCCCACCTTCTCCATTCTCCTCTCAGGGTCTTGGGCATGCACGCTCATGCGCCTGGCAAGTTTAAGCCACTGGGGCTTGAACTGCAGTCGACTACATGGGAGTCCAGCGACGTAGCCATTATGCCATCTACTGGTCCCATTGATGGAATTTTAATAGGAATTGCATTGACTGTGTAGATCACTTTGGTGATATAGACATTTTAATTCTTCTAATCCATAAATACAGGATGTTTTGCATTTTTTATATATCTTTTTCAATTTATTTATTTGTTTCTTTAATTTTAATAGTTTTCATGATAGAGATCTTTTACTTCTCTGGTTAGATTTATTCTTAGACTTTATTTATTTATTTGGTAGCTATTGTAAGTGGAATTGATCTCTTCATCTCTTCCTCCATTTGTTTATTGCTAGAGTACAAAAATGCTATAGACTTGTATGTTGACTTCATACTCTGCAACTTTGTTGAATTTGTCTGTTGCCTCTAAGTTTTTAAGTGCATTCTTTAGTTTTTTCCTGTGTATGTAATCATGTATTTTGTAAATAGGGATAATTCAACTTCTTCCTTTCAAATTTTGATGCCTTTTGTTTTATTCTCTTCTCTAATTGCATTGGTCAGGACTTCAATCCTGGATTGAATGGGAGCAGAGAAAGTAAACATCCTTGTCTTGTTCCAGTTTTAAGAGGAAAAACTTATAACTTTTTCTCATTGAATATGATATTAATTGTGGGTTAGAACTATTTTATCTTGCATGACTGAAACCCTATCCATTAAGCAACAACTCATTTTCCCTTCTCCAGGCTGTCACCATTTTGCTTTCTGCTTCTATGAGTTTGAATGGTTTAGATACCTCGTATAAGTGAAATCATGCAGTGTTTGTCTTTTTTATGACTGGCTTATTTCACTTAGCATTAGTACTCAAGTTTTATCAGTGTTTGTAGCATATGACAGGATTTCCTTTTTCTTAAGGTTGAATAATATTGTATGTATATACCATGTTTTTCTTTATCCATTTACCCATAAATGGATATTTAGGTTGTTTCCACCTCTTGGCTTTTGTGAATAATGCTCCAATGAACATGAGAACACAAATATCTCTTTGAGATCCTGTTTTCAAAATTTTGGATAAATACACAGAAGCGAGATTGGTGGATCACATGGTAATGCTATTTAAAATTTTTGAGGCCCCTCCATGCTGTTTTCCATGGTGATCATATAATTATACATTCCTACCTACCATGCAAGAGCTCTCATTTTTCTCCATTTCCTGGCCAACTGTTTCTCTCCCCCTCTTGCCATCTAGCTAATAAGTGCTTGATTATAACTCACTGTGG